CTGGCATGGAGATGGAGGGATTGGGGCAGGAGGGAAGGGGTTGGGGCTTACTGGTGGGGGCAGGATGTTTTAATTGCCCCCAGCCTCTAAGAGTGTAAGCCAGGGTCTTCACTGGCTGTCTGGAGTGTGATGGGTGTAGGTGTAGGGGTCATAGGGGTTGTAGTTGTAGTACTGCCCATGGACATAGTAGGGATAGGGCAAAGGCATCTTAACCTTCTTCTGAGGCTGGGGCGGAGCAGGCTCTTCCTCTTCCTCCTCCTCCTCCTCCTCTTCCTCCACAGGGGGGGGCTCAGGCACCTGGGGGTGGGACTTCCCTTTGGTGAGCATGTGGGGCACCTCTCTCAGGCAGTCGGGGTCCCAGTAGGGGTCGCAGTCGTACTCCATGGCTTTGTAAGGTCTTGGGGGAGGGGGAGGAGGAGGAGGAAGGGGAACTGATTTTTTCGGAGCTGGGGGCGGAGGGGGTGGAGGGGGCTCCTCGGTTTTGGGGGGCTCCTCGGTTTGGGGGGTCTGGCAGGCAGGGTCGTAGCGAGGGTCACAGGGAAAAGGGCTGGAGCCCAGGGTCATGTAGACGATGTGGGGCTGGCAGGTGTGGTCCCGGGGGTCACAGAGGTAGCGGATCAGGGTCTGCTGCAGTGGGGCAGGAGGCGCAGGGGTGGTGGGAGGGGGAGGGGGGGGCAGGGTGGTCTTGCACTTCTTGTCCTTGCTCGGGTCACACTTGGTGGGCGCCAGGCCCAGAGTGTACTGGTAATAGGGGGCATTAGAGCCGTGGACCTGCTCGAGGTGACGCATCTGCTGGTACAGCATCCTGATCCGGTCAATCTCATAGAGCTGGAGCGAGAGGGAGCAGAGAGGTGAGCGGGGTATTCGCCAAACAGGAGAACCAATGTATTACTGCTCTGTGTTACATACTGCTCCTCGTCGCTTATTACATATTGTTCTTGCTCACTACTATATGTTTATTGTTCCACAACATATTTATTGTTCCCGTTGTGTGGTGTTGTCTGTCGTACTGTGTATGTACTGAGAGATCAGCTCGATTAAGAGTTCCAATGTACGTGTATATAATTAACAGCTCTACTCTACTACTCTATTCTTTATTGCTCCTACCCCTCTCCCTGTCACATGCCACACACCTCTATGCATCAGAGGCCCTGCCCCTTCAACCACCTGCCCCATTCCCTTGTCACAAGCCCCACTCCTCTCCCCATCTCAGGCCCCTCCCCTCCACTGCCATTGGCCCAGACCCTCTCCTAGTCACATCCATCAAGGCCCCAACCCTCTTCGTATGACATGCCCCGCCCCTCCATTGTCATTGGCCCAGACCCTCTTCCTAGTCACTGGCCCCTCCCCTCATCGCCCCATCCTGGGCCCCACCCCTCCACCCATTCAGGCTCTCACCCCTTCAGTGTGGCCGATGCTGTTGTAGTATTTGTAGTAGGCCTGGAAGTCCGGACTGTTGCGGTGCCACTTATCGGCGTTGCGTTTGGGCCGGGAGCGAGAGGACAGGAAGTCGTGGGCCTTGGCTGGGTCGATCGTCACAGCGCTGACCGTCTGAGCCTGCTCCCCTAAGGGGCAGAGAGAGGGAAACCCTACTGAGTATATAACAGAAACACTGGACCCCATGTCTCCACACACCTGAGTGATCTGCCAGCTGAGCAATGAAGAAGAGGGTTTCTTACCTTCAGGCTTAATGATCTTCATCAGCGACGTGGCTTCCAGCAGCCCTGCAGATGGGAGAGAGAGAGAAAGTCACGCTTTTCCAAGCGTCTCCTGTAGCCTCCAGACCCCCAGCCTCTGGGTCCAGATCAGCCCTGGTTCAGTGACCCGGATACCCCCCACACCCCCATAATCTGCCCTGTTTCTGAAACCCCCCTCTGCTTAGGGAATAGAACAAATTAAACGAATGCCCCCTAATGGTACAATGGTACTGTCTAGTTGTCCACAGTACCATTGTGTACTGTGGCATAGACATCACTTTTCTTTTGAATGAGTCTTTGTCAGGCCCAGCATGCCTTGGAAAGCTGCTGTTGTGTTTGTGCCTCCTCCCTCAGGTGCTTGATGTTGTGTTACAACACTGGCGTTGTGTCTGAGCAGGTGTCAGCACAAACATCGATACTCAAGCTGCACCCCTGTATCTCAACCGAATTTAATAAGAGGGCCAGGGAGCGATAGGCACCAGAGAAACATCACTGATGTTTGTGCTACTATAAAAGAAAGATTTTTTTTATTTTAAAATGTAAAAAGCCTCTAGGAAAGCAAGAAGTTCAACTCACCTGGAAGCAATGTGGTGCAGCACAGTGCCCCCGCCAGGAATATCTGAGCCATCATCTTCAGCAGCTCCTGCGAATACAAGTGCACAGCACAGCTCTGAGCAGGAAGTTGCAGGCTTGCAGAGTGTGGACTCTGGCAGGGGACATAGGTCACACTGGACTTGTCAGCTGGGCATGACTGATGGAAAACGGTCAGCCGTCTCCACTGAGCACAACAAGACACACTTGACCCACTGCGTCCAGATTCAGGGGCACAGTTTCATGCCCACCGATCACCTTTATACTTCTAGCCATTCAAAAAGAGTCAAAAACGTTTTGGAAATGCATGCACTGTAGGCTGGGGGAGCTGTAATAAATTACTGTTAAAATACTGTGCAGAAGGACAGCACAAATGAGAAAGCAGTGTGGAGCTGAAGAGACAGAACCAGCCAGAGAGTTGTGGGTTTGAATCCCACAGCCCTGCTGCTCTAGACTTGAGTTACCAGATACCTATTCCACAGTGCACCAGAAATCCTGACTATAAACTAATTTATAGGCAGAAGAAGTATTCAGTCTAATCTGCTTTGGATATTTATCTTTAATGACTTGACTGATTACTTTTGAATTTTCTATCATAACTCTATGCCTCAAAACTCTTCTGCAGAACTTCACCCAAAAGATCCTGTAATGACACCACTACAGTGAATGCAGTTTGAAAAATTCAAATTGAAAGTCTAGTGTAAGAATATGTAGATGCACCAATCCCTCTCTCTCTCACCCGTCTGCCCCCCTACACCAGTCCCTCTCTCTCTCACCAGTCTGCCCCCCTACACCAGTCCCTCTCTCTCTCACCAGTCTGCCCCCCTACACCAGTCCCTCACTCTTCATCCCTCTCTTCCCATCCATCGTTCTCACCCCTTTGCTTCTCTTTGATGCTCTTTGATCTGAAGCCCCCCATCACTTTACAGCACATCTGGCTCCTCAGCCCCCACCCCCTCTTCCCCATTTCCAGCGTGGCAAGGGTTCAAGGTGCTTTAACGAGAACTGCTTCGTTAGCATGTTCTGTACAACCCTTCCCAGCTCAGAGGAGGCTAATGAGAGACAGGCTCACACTTGGAACACTCTTCCGGTGGCACTGTGTGTCCCCTCCAGTAAAGCACAGGGCTTATTTCCTCTCTTTTGCCCAACATCTGGCCAATAACGGGCTCATTTGTGTGTACAGGGTCCTGTTTGCTTCTAGGACAAGCTGAAGCGCACACCACAAGCAAGAACAGCTACCAACAGGAGACCATTGGGCCAGTCTCACACATTCTGCACTGAGTAGTCATTTGTTCCAAAGATCTCATAGCAAACTATTTCTTGAAAGAAGCCTGGGTATTGGCTCCAACAACAAAGCCTGGCAACAAAGCTTGTTCCACACTCCCACCACCCTTTGTGTAAAGAAGTGCCTCCTGTCCTGATTGGAGGATCTTATCCAGCCGTTTCTTGAAAGAAGCTAGGGTATCGGCTTTGACAATATGCCTAGGTGGCTTGTTCCACACACCCACCACTCTGTGTCAAGATGTGTTCCAGATGAAAGTCTCTCTCTGTATGCTCATATAACTCATTTTACACGCGTAGCAGGACCCCTTTCTGCCTGTCAATCCACAGAGCAGCTACAGCGCCTGTCAAGACAGTATCTGTGCAGTAGGTACGGTTTAAACTACACTGCCTCTTGAATCCGCGGTTAGGTGCGAAGAGCAGCTGGGATTCGCGAGCTTTCCTCAGTCTGCGGAGCGTGTCGGACTTTCGCCTGGTCTCCGACACTACCGACCCGACCCGTCCCGTCACGCACTCGAAGGTCCACTGACAGAAACCCCACAAACCCTAATTACTTACGATTTACCCTCTCACCCGTCTCCGTAAACCATGATACTGAACCCCAGCCACTTCTATGTGGAAGTGACCGGCGCAGACACACAAATATTAATTACCTCAGCAAGGTTTTTCAGTAATAAAATAATATTGGTAAACACCGCATTTTTAAAGAATACGTGGATAAAACATTGTAAATGAAGATGGACAAACCCCCCTGCATCCCCCTGGCTAGACTTACCTGGCCTCGCGCCGCTAACTGTATTCTGGCAGGTAGAGCCGCAGGTGAGCTAAATACAGCTCCTCCTGTCAATCAGCGCTAGGCTGAGCTCCTATTGGCTGATACTCGAGCTGGGGTGGGGCCAGGGGTGACGTGTCGTCTTAAGCGGACTGGCGGCACCGCGTCTCCCCAGGAATGATTGTAAAAAAGTTCAGATGAAATTGAGACTAGAACCCCGCTGTGAACACAGCAAAGTGCTGCCGTCAGCCCAGCTTCTGTGTGTGAGGCTCTTGTTCCCTTTCACAAAACCGAGAGATCTATTCGAATAATTTTAAAATAAACTTGTTTGCAAACAGACATCGAGTCTCAATGCATTGCCTTTCATTAGAAATGACATTCGCTGTTCAGTGTGGTTTAACGAGCATGAATATTAAAGCAAACTTTAGCTTTTTTTTCTGGTGTGGAGCTGTGATAAAGGCGCAGGAGCTCAGCTTCGGAGGAGCTGGCCATGTGAGGCGACCTCTGTGTGTACCCCGGCGGTCATGGGTTCAAGTCTCAGGTGGGCATACAGCTCCTGTCCACTCTGATCGCGCCAGGACATTTTCTAGCCTCGGAATGGCTGAAAAGGAAGAAACATGAGCTGCGTTCTTTAATGATAGCAGAGTAATAATACATTTTACCAGTGATATGAACATCGGTTTCCATCGGGACACATAACGAGTTTTAGGGGTGAATATTAGTGGCTCTGTTGCAATGGCGCCGTGGTCTTCATCCTAAGAGAAAACTAGTCTTCAGAAATGAGACGCGTTGTGAATCATGTGCTTCATATATCTAGTTCCAGTTATTAGAAATAAAACCCGATAGAAACAGTGTCCAGTGTAGCGACATTGTGAAAGATACGCCGAAACAATCAGCGCGCTCTGAGCTCGGGAGCACAGGAGAGCGCCGGCCTCCGGCCAGGGACCGATACTGACGCTGGCGTTCATTACAGCTCGGCTCATTACAGCTTTGAAAAAAAGGCCAGTTCCGCGCAAATCCTATCTGCGTTTTTATCTTATTTTCGCCCATTCCAATCCAGGTCCTGAGCAGTATAATAACCAGTTTCCCTCCTCCGTGTCAGCCAGCCTGATAAAATTAGAGCCTGTTTTCCTGCGAACCAGCTGGGCTCGCCAGTGCCTGCCGGCGCGCAGCGCAAAATTCGTTGTTGCGGCTGCTTACTTAGGACTCTCGCCCTTCAGGCACGGCGCGGGACCCTGGTAGGTTCTTTAACCCATTCCGCGTTCGCCTCCTAATCCTGAGATCTTGGTTCCTGGGACTGACTTTGTATCAGGGTGTCTGTGTGTGTGGAGTTTGCATGTTCTGCCCAATTTCGCATGGCGCTCCAGCTTCCATTCACCTCTCGCTAGAAGGTGGACTGGCTGTCAGATTGTGCCCGTTTCACAAGGAGTAGGAATGGCTACGCACAGCTGTAAGCAGAGCTGAGAGTCGTAGGGTAGGGACCGCAACAGTCCATTCTAAATCCATCTCCCTGTGAACACAGCTGCTACACAGCACAGCAGCTTGATCAAGGACACTAGTGTCCACACCAGGGACCTGGTCCTATAACCTCTTGGTAAAGAGGTCCATTTCACTGCCCTCCTCACTCCAATCATCCCCCACTGACCAGAGCTACACCGCATTGCTGACATCGACCACCCCACCCTCTAGGGGGCAGTAAATCATAACAGAGGTAACACACGCGCAGGGACTGGACAAAAACTTTCACTTGATCTACAAAACTCAGAAGGGAAGAACGTTCAAGTAGACAAATCTTTCAGATCCAGACACACACAAGAACATAACATATTGAAAGCCTGCCCTGCAGGTAGCAACCAATTGATGTGAAGGTCGCATCCAGCTTGTTCCCTGAAACAAGCCAGGGCAAGGGTGCCGACATGGCTGGGCAGCTTGTTCCATACTCCTGCCACCCTTTGTGTAAAGACGTACCTCCCTCCTGTACTTGGAGGTAAATGCACATCCAGTTTCCCTTTCTGTCCTCACCGAGTCCCCCAGCTGTGTGAGAACAGTACTCTGTGACCCCCTGTTCCCCTATTTTGCACAGCTCTGCAGAGTGCCCAGGTTTCTTCGGCATCAAGCGAGAGCCCGAAGGCCTCTGGCTTTCATTGACACATAAGGAAACTTCACTTCATATGTCTCTTAAATCTGCACGGCTCACACTGCAGATCTCTTCAGGACCGGAATCACAAGCCTCTCTTTTCCATGGTTTTGCACACGTGGAACAGAGGCCAATTACCACGAGGCGCTGTGCAGATTCGCCGGCCAGGATCGGCCCTGCAGGGGGGTGATTGTAGTCTAGGGTTTCTGCTGAGTCTGTGCTAGTTAGGAAAAGAAACGGATAAAAATTCCTCCGCTGCTGGAAGCAGGAGAGACAGGACCCAGGGGTGCCTCTCAGATGGGCCGGGGGTGTGGATCAGCAGGGGAATAACGAGCTCCCGCTGTGAGGATGATGTGGCGGCCGAAGCGCTTGGCAGGGTCTGTTCTTCCTAGCATCTGAGAGACGCGGCGCAGGTCCGTACACCCGCTCCCCCGTGTCAGCTTTCCAGCCAGCTATGGATCAGTGTGAAAACGCCATCGGACAAACTTGAATCCCTACGGGCTATTTTCACATCCGAGGCCCTGCCTGGCCTTGGAGGGGGGAAAAAGAATGAAGATTGAACATCAAAATGTGATTAAAAAAAACATTTGGAAGTTCAATTATCTAAACTGCGTGGGTAAAAGTATCTTCCAATTCTAAAAACTCCAAAAGGAAGATATCTTGGAAAAATTCAGTTTACACTGTTGGTCAAGTCAGAGGAGCAGCCATATCACGCTGCAACTCAAAACTGGCAGCCCACTGAAGCTCAGCAGGTGTGAGTCTGGTGATCAGTTCCTGGATGGGAGACTTCCTGGGGAAAACTAAGGCTGCTGCTGGAAGAGGTGTTAGTAGGGCCAGCAGGGGGCGCTCACTCTGCGGTCTATGTGGGTCCTAATGCCGCAGTATAGTGACAGGGACTCTATACTGCGAAATAGCCAAAGTTTTTTGGATGAGACGTAAAACCAAGGTCCTGACTCTCTGTGGTCATTAAAAGAGTACGGGTGTAACCCCGGTGTATTTTCTGTCCTGGCCAAATTTCCCATTGGCCCTTACCACTCATGGACTCCTAATAATCCCCCTCTATCAACTGGCTTCATTACTCTGCACTCCTCCCCACTGAGAGCTGATGTGTGGTGAGAGTACTGGTGCACTATGGCTGCCGTCACATCATCAAAGTGGGGCTATACATTGGTGGTAGTAGAGGAAAGTCCCCATTACCTGCAAAGCGCTTTTGAGCAGATTGTCCAGAAAAGCTCTATACAAGTGTAAGCAATTATTATAACAATGCAAAGAGGAGAGAAACAACCGTGCTCAGATGAAAGTGGGACTTGTTTAATCTACATCTACAGTAAGGGTCCTTGATTTTCTGAGAGGATTCAGAAGGACCTCCACATGTTAGAAATACAGGTGCTGGATACTTCTCCCATCAGAGCAGGATCGTACAGGCATGGGTCACCCTGAAATCAGGGAAGACTGGGAGCAACTGAACAAGGTCAGTCAGGAATGGCCAACTGCAGTTTTTGGGACTGCCATTTCAAATTATCCCTGAACTCCCTAACAAATAACCACTGGTCAAAATTACATTAACCTATAAAGCTACCCAGGCTGACAACCTCTGCATTACAGGGCTCTGGTTTCCAAGTGGAACTGCTGTCGGGCACAGACCATCTGTCCGAGAACAGTGGTTGACCTTCTCGGTAGCAGGAGTAGGACACAACCCAACAGGATAGGATGCAAAGCATGGTGATTAACAAGATTCTGGCCCAGTCCTGTAAGTGAACAATGAGAAATAGTTTCACCTAGTCCTGCCCCGCTAATAAAGATGAGAAAGTGATCCTTCCGTTGTCCGTTTCTGAAGACCGTGAATGGCTCTGACCCCCTGTTAACAGATATGTTGCATGAAATAGTCCAGAGATCTGAGCCCAAGTCACATTCAGACTGCAGCTCCTCCAGCCCAGGCTCTCCCCCAGCGGCTGCCTCTGGTTGACGTGTGGAGGCTGGAATGCCCCCTGGGCCCCCCCTCCCTCAGCACCCGTGAAACAGACGCAGCTCGTTGTCTTTAAACACCAGGTTGACCGTACATGAGCTGGGAGGCACGGGCTCCAGGTGTTGCAGTGCCAGAGCTGGCATCTCAGCTATGTCGAGCAGCAGAGTTGGGCGGCGCACTGTAATCAACAGCACCCCACAACCTGTCGCAACCGGCCCCGCCACACATGCCCGGTCACCCCCACGCTGGAGAACACAGCTGTCGGACCGCAATCCTCTTCTGCAGCCAGACCTCGAGTTCTAAACCCTTCTCTAGACCAATATGTGCCCGTGTGCGCTGCGTACGAGACAGCAGACCAAGAACAAGGGAGTAATTCTGGACAGGGGTCCTTCTGTGTGGAACTTGCATGTCCCCTCAAGTCAACTTGGGTGCTAAAAAAAAAAAGTCTAAAAAAGGCATATGGAATCAATAAAGCAGGTCTTTTGGGTGAGATTTAGTTATCTGAACACTTCCTACTAGGTAATTTAGGTTGAGTTGCAAGACTAACCAGATTATGACTACATGGCAATAGGGGTTCCCAGTCCTGGAGAGATTCTTCCCAGATGTTTGGTCCAATAATTTGTTTAATCAGGTTTTAAACATGTAGAATGTCACTTTTAATGCATTAAAAAAAATTCCCAACCTCTACACAGGAAAAAATAAAAAATGTTCCAATCAGGCAACATATTGGTTTCAGTCTACAATGGGGAACTGGAAGCTGAGCTGGAATGATTGGCAGCAGGAATGAGGACTGGGAAGGCCGACGACAGTTCTCTCTCGCTGGGTCATGGGGGTGACAAAGAACAGCTGCCCATCACTGCGCAGCCCAACGCAGCACCTGCAGGTCTGCTCTGAGCAGGCCGACTTGAGCTTCGGCAGAACAACCCAACACCAGTCTGCAAGACTGACAGAGGATGAAGACAAGAAGGCAAAGCTCATTACCCGATCCCACAATATCAGGAGAAAAGGAAAAATAAACTGGCCTTTATTGAAAAGTGTAAAGCAGGAAGGGGAGCATTTAAACAAAGTACAGGGAGAAGCACCTGCCCCCGGAACTGCTGGGCAGGAGCGGTCACAGCCTGGCAGCAGGGGGCGCTCAGGAGAGAATCTGATCTTTTACCTAAATATTAAAAACATGCTGCAGAGGTTATAGTAAAGACACCTTCTCAAAGAAGCCAAAGTTCCATTTACACAAGAAAAACATGCCTAACAAAGACCGATTAACACGTATGTACAAGTCTGGCCTCTCACAGTCTGAGCTGCAGTGGCCGGTGTGAAGCACCGGTCAGCTACAGGCCTGGTGGGGCCGTGATCTGTGAAGACAGTTCTGGCAGAGCCGCGAAGAAAGTCCTCCACTCTAAGGCGCTGGCCAGCTTGCAGGAGTCTACACAAAGGTGATGCGGGTGCGAGCCTGGTTGACCTGCCACACATTGAGCTCCTCGTACTCCTCCAGCGCAGACTCGAACTGCACAGGAGTGAAGCCCTTCGACACGCAGCGCTGCAGGGCATCCGCAAACCGCACGCTGCGCACCCCCTTCTCCGGGACCATCTCTCTGAGCGCAGCGAAGATCACGTCCGCCGGCCGCTGGGCTCTGAGGGAGAGAGAGGGGTTAATACAGACACACTGAACACTACAGTCCATTACCACTGCACTGAGAGAGAGAGGGGTTAATACAGACACACTGGACATTACAGTACATTAACACTGCACTGAGAGTTAATACAAGACACTACAATACAAAGCTGATATGAGCTACAGACTTTAGTCACAATCTTGGTTCTAGGAGAACTACACATCCCTCTTGTTTTCTGAACTACTCTAAACTACTTGACTGTCCCAGTAAAAGGCCTCACTAGTCCAGATGAATGTGATCTGCAGCTTCTGACTGAACATACCCAGTTAACCTGCCTGGAGTACCCCTGCGCTGTTCGTACGACAGCGTTGCAGAGCGGAGCTGAGTTACCTTGTGCTCTGGTTCTTCTCTGCTTGCAGCGAGTCCTTGGACATCTCCATCAGACGCATGGCCTCGTTCACATCCTCCTTCTCCACGGTGTCCACCAATCGCAGGCGAGCCTGAGGGCCAGGGGGCGGGACAGAGCAGAGGTCAGCAGGGTGTTGGAGCACTGCTCTCCCTCTTGTTACCCATCTCAGTACAGGCAGCATTATAGCCAGGCACAGGAAACTGCAGCATTTCCACCACCTCTAGCAATAAACCTAGATTTCCCCCTGAGTTTTCTCCCATTTGGAAGAGCAGCTCACCAACAGCTGATGAATACTTTTCCTTCTCAAGTCCAGCATTGCAGAGAGAGGACACTTCCTTGATACAAAACACTGTTTCTGAAATTTGAAAAATCCCTCCAAAGCAGAGCGCAGTGGGACCTCTGTGGCCCTCCTCATGCTCAGCCACTGCCGCGCAGTGCCAGCACTGTCAGACCGAGACAAGTGCAATGCCCTCTGGGATTGCCGGCAATTGCCCAAGTCTCCGCCTCTCAACACTGGCTAGTCCCAGATTGGCTGAACTACCATCAGCCAATATCTACTACCTATGCCATTGGCTGAAAGGACCTCAGGAGGCCTGTTCACCTGCTGCAAAGATGGAATTGCTCCCCTCATCATGTTTCCACTGTGCAAACCAGCAAGTGCGACAATGTAATGCCCCCCCCCCCCAACTTCCCCACAGGTGGCCAGCCTTCCATCAGGTCAAGGGCAAAGCAGGAGTGATCTGTGTATTAACCTCCACTCCCTTCTCTCTGTGAGCACAGGAGGCTGGAATTCCTGCTTTTGCTGCAGCCCAAACAACTCTGCAGATGCAGGGTGTGACCCGGCCTCACAAAAATAACTTCCAGGACTTGGATGCAAAGCATCTCATCCTTTGGAATATTTCTCTCTCAGACATTATTTTAACAGGAGACAGATGATAATTTTTTACTCGGGCAGGAACGTATTTTCTGCTGTTTGTGTTTTTTTTACACTGCAAGCCTGGTGTTTACATGGATCATCACTATCACTCAGTGCCAGGACATCCCAAGGAACAGATCAACTCAATCAACAAGCCTATCTGCTCGCTATTTAACAAGTGAACACGGCACACATGCGCAGTGAGCAAGTGCGTTCTGCAGCCATATAAACTCTACTGCCTGCACCAGGACAGAAGGACCTGCCCACCTGCAAGAGCAGTCCTGCTGGGGTACGAATTTCTTCAAGGACGGCTTCTTGGCGTCTCAGAAGCAGCACTGGACGGCGGCCGGCGTCTGACCACAGCCTGGCAGCAGGCGAGAGGAGGCGGCACCAGCCACAGTCAGTTTTGCATGGGTTTGCACAGCGGCACTGACAGGCACAGGCTGACTGCAACCCTGCAAAGCTGACTGGGACCCGCAGGGCAAAAGAGAGAGGGAGAGCCTGCAGCAGAGTCCAGGCAGCACGCGGGTCGAGGACAGGGAGGCTGCCACGCACAGCACACAGGGAGACACAGCACCTAACAGGGGAGTGCCAGTTCGCCCCAGGCAAGACAACCTGTTCCTCTTAATAAACGGGAATTATATTAACACAAATTAGCCATCTTCTTAGAAAAGGTGCATCAAGTCCTAAGCAGCAGCTCTCATTTGATCAAGTAACTCTGAGGCTTAAGCAGAGCTTCTCCTCACCCTTGTGTGAACAGCTTGTTTTGTGTCGTTTGGCGCCCACCAGTGGCTTCTCAGGAGAAGTGCAGTGCCTCTGTGTGTCGGGAAGTGCTGGTTTTGCAGTAGGCTCTCAGGTTAGCTACCTGCACAAACAGCACTTTGGGCACCCAGGGGCCGTTCTCCTCTGAAGGCTGCCGCGCGAACCTGCGTCTTGGCCCTGCTGTGCAAGAAGTGCTCACACTGCGGTAGGCTGAACAGAGGAACTACCTGCACTGTAAGCACTTTAGCACAGCGAGGACCCCTCAGGCCAGCGCTCGGCTGCTGTAGATACTTGGACCTCACCGACAAGCTTCAGTGCACCAGACCTGTGCTTGGGCTGCATGGTCTGACCGGCACAGAGGCACGTCTTACCAGTGCAGTGGACAGGCGGAGGATGGACAGCAGTGTGCGGGCAGAGGTGAAGGTCATGTCCTTGTTGGTGCGCGCCTCCTTCCTCATCTCCACGTAGGCGGCCGTGATGTAGTCTGCCAGCGCCTCGGGCACCACAGGCTGCTTCTTCTTACACAGGGCGATGTAGCGCCTAGCAGAGAGAGAGAGAGAGCAAGAGAGAGCTGACACTCTGGAGTCCACACTGAGGACCTGCTGCCCCTACCACCACTCCATAGGCGACTGGTAGAGAGACCTGATGCCCAGGAGTTAACACTGGAGACCTGCTGACCCAACACCTGGTCCTGCCCCCCTAAGGGAGCAGAGCTGAACACAAGACTCATCTCATTTCCCCAAGAAACGTTATTGGCACTAACTGCTACACCAGACCCGGCACCACGGGACGTCGCCCCCTCAGCTGAACTGCCCCGCCCCCTCAGTTTTGGGCAAAAGGATTTTTGAACACTTTCGCTTACTTAACTTCCACCCTAAAAAATAGTTGTGCTTTGTCAATGGTCAGATAACGACACTAACCCCAAATCCACAGTTACTACATCAGACTGCTTGATGCGCCTGAGGGCTATTCATTCAGGAAACGGCACCTATTACATAGCTTCTACATTATTGGGTGTCAACATTATTACGATCTTGTTTGCTCAGGTGGACCGATTCCTTGCAGTAGTTTATCCTTATACCTTACAATCATTATATAACCAGGACTGTAGTTATAGAATTTTGTGCTTCCTGTTTGTTTTACAACTATTCTTTCTCAACAATTCAGGACCTCGTTACCATAATTGTAGCTGCAAAAATGAACACTTAATCTGTCGCTCCAGGCAATAATAACCACGAGAGTGCTGATGAACGTGAAACTGTACTTCATTGTACAAATCATTCATTTGTACTGTTCTTTGAAGTCTATCAAGTTACTGCTGCTTCCCCGCTACATCTGTGGCCCTGGCCAGGACCGCAAGCAGCACGGGTCATGTTCGTTGGGTGGCTCTGTAAGGAAACCGAGGCCGCTGGCCTGGAAAGCTGTGTGCGAGTGAATCCGGCTTGTGTGCGCCGTGCCCCAACAGGTTCTGCCCCGCTCCCCCAGCCTCACCTCATGAGCTTCATTTCGATGGGGGTGAAGTGGGAGGGGGGCTGGCGGCAGTGCTGGTGCACGTAGGTGATGTGCTGGGCCAGCCGCAGGTCGCCCTCGCGGTCGGGCCGGTCCTGGATCAGCCACAGCAGGTCGAAGCGCGACAGCAGGGCCGCCGGCAGCTGGATGTTCTGCTCCACCGTCTTGCGGGGGTTGTAGCGGCCGTACGCGGGGTTTGCTGCCGCCAGGATGGAGCAGCGCGCGTTCAGGGAGGTCATAATGCCCGCCTGGCACGGAGAGAAGAGGCAGCTCAGCCAGCGGGCAGGCGGGAGAGACCGGTGGGGGCAGGGCAGTGCCCCAGGGGCAGGTGAGTGACACGCACCTTGGCGATGGAGATGGTCTGCTGCTCCATCACCTCGTGGATGGCGGTGCGGTCGGCGTCCATCATTTTGTCGAACTCATCGATGCAGCACACGCCCTGGTCCGCCAGCACCAGCGCCCCGCCCTCCAGGGTCAGCTCGCCTGTCAGCGGGTCCCGCATCACTGCCGCCGTCAGCCCCACCCCGGAGGAGCCGCGACCTGTGGTGTACTGACCTGGGGCAGAGAGGGGAGAGAGACTGGAGGGTGAGTTTGGGGAAGAACGAGGAATGTAAAAGGGGTGGGGGTCAGGACAGAGAACTTAACACCCCCAAACATTAGTGTGGAGCAGCTGCTAAGGACCTGAACTTCCAGCTATAGGGTGCTGCGGGGTTCAAATCCTGGGCGAGGCACAGCTGCTGTACCCTTGAGCAAGGAGCTCCTTGACGGCTTCAGTAAAATACCCGGCACTGTCAATGTCTAGAACCTTAGCAGTTTTAGATACAAGCTTTGGTTCTACACATCTGTAATGATTCTAATAGCAGGAGCTTGAGCAAGGGCTGAAGGAGAGAGAATTGGGAGTGTGGGGTTCACAGGGGGTGGCCGGTCTATACTCACTGCGCGGGGCCAGCCGGTCAATGTAGGACAGCAGCTGGGACTTGGCCACTCCGGGATCGCCCATCAGGCAGATGTTAATGGTCCCTGAGGATGGAGGACACACACTGTTACACAGAATCCCTCAGTCTCCCCCACAGTCTTCCACTAAGTACGTGTCACAAATACAGCGCCTTTGCCCCCCCAGCTCACCCCTGATCTTCATGCCGCGGGGCGCCTGCTCCACCCCGCCCACCAGCAGCAGCAGCAGGGCCTTCTTGACATCTTCGTGGCCGTAGATCTCAGGGGCGATGGAGGCGGCCAGCTTCTCGTAGAAATCCTCCTCTGGAAGGGAGGGACAAGTCCTGGTCAGCAAATCGCATACAAGGCTCTGCATGGCTTCGCCCGAGTTACTACCATCCTACTTTCCATGTCGCTTTTCTAAAACTGGTCTGCTGTCTGTCCCCCAGGCCCCTATGGGTGACAGGGCCTTCTGCTGTGATGCCCCAAAGCTCTGGAATTCTATCCCTAAGGAAATCAGAGTCACCTTCCCTACACTCCTTCATAACTAGATACAAAACCTTTACTTAACAGGTTCTGTTATTTACCCCTACCGTATTCAGTACCCCCCTCTACCATTGTGCATTTTCTTGTACATATCTTGTGTATTTTTTTGTTGTTGTTCTGTAAAGTGCATCATGAAGCCTCCTTTAAAGGCTTAATAAACTTGATTATATATAATTTTCCCTCCACCACACACTGGACCCCGTCCTCTGGGACCCCGATGTCTACCGGCACATGAGCTCTGAATCCCATTTTGGAAAGCACCCTTTCACGAGTAGCTCAGGGAACAGGGGAGAGCACTGAGAACCATTCCGGCACTGAGATGCTCAAAGCCTGGCAAAGAGGTATGTTAACCATGCTAGTATGGGGACATACTGCACAGAAACCAGGACAATACAGCACTGCAGAAATTAAAAGTATGGACCCCTACTGCACCTGTGATCTGTCGCAGCTCCTCCTCGCTCAGCTCCTCAGTGCCCAGCTCGTCGTCCTCAGTCTTGTTCATCATGATGATCCTGTGGGCCTCCAGGTACGTCTCTGACAGCAGGCCCTGAGAGACAGGGAGGGGCCTTCAGTCACGGCAGTTAAGGTTTTGCGGGGAGACAGCAGCTGCTGCACCACACGAGAGGGACCCAGCCTGTGGAACTGACCTGCACGGCCTGCCTGAAGCCGCTCTTCAGCTGGGGCAGGAAGATGCCAGAGATGGCCACATGGTTCCCGGGCTGGGCCAGCCGAGTGTTCTCACCGCGCACAAACACCGTCATGCTGCGCGGGATGTTCCCCACCGGCACCTGGTCACTCTGTTGGCAAGAGAGGGGTTAATACAGACACACTGACTGCCTGGACACTCCAGTACATTAACACTGTACTGAGAGAGAGAGAGAGAGGTTAATATAGACACACTAAACACTACAGTACATTAACGCTGCACTTAAAGAGTCAGGCTACTGTATTGCACCAAAACTCCACGGTGGCAGAGGTATCTTTTGTGAACTGTGAACAACTCACATGCTCCTGAATCCTGAGCTCCTGGAACTTGATGAACTTTGACCCACGAGTCTGTAGGTAAAGCCGCCCTCCTGACTTGTTGGTGACACAGTCCTGACTGGGGCACATGATGATCGGCATGAAGGAGGAGGACTGGATCTGAGAGAGAAAACGGACACGCAAATCATTACTCTCCGAGTTAACGGGGACACATCGGTGTCCAGCGTCCAGCACAGAATCCCTCAGCGTTGACCAAAACCAAGGAAAACTCATGCAGTCCTCAGACTAAACAATTAGAAGTGTTTTGGTGAAGCTTATTTGCTTCTGCACTATCATGCAGAAACATTCATTGCATCACATATGTGAGAAACTGGAGGACTTGCCGCCTGGCTGTGGTGTACTGCTTCTGCACGAGTGATTTAGCGGAAAGACCTGGCTCTGTAAAACCTGCGCTGTGATGCTGAAACCCTCCTCTATGCAGCAGAAACGCCACAACCTGTCAAAACCACATGGCCGCTCACGCTCATTTTGTCATTCTCAACACTCTAAAGCCAGCGGGCACGTTGTGGGCAAGTCAAACTAAACTCTCCTATCTCGATTGAAAACAACCTCCTAGTTTCAGTCCTAAATGGACTGATTAACAGATCCCCCCCCCAGCACCACAGTGGTATGCTCCCCCACTCCCCTCTCCAGTCTCACCGGTTGGTACGTCTCTGCGCCACACTGGTCACAGGTGTAGGTGGCGACCACCATCATGGGCTTGACCTCCGTCGTCCGGGTCACTATCCCGCGCACCGTCACCAGCTTCCCGATACTGTCGGCCTTCACATCGCGCACCCCTCTTGGTTTCATCGTGCTGGGGGGCTTGAAGTACACCTCGCTGAGGGAGGGACAGAAAGAGACGTGGAGGAGCTGGAGCAATCCAGGCAAGCTATAGGTGGAAGGCAGTGTATACCCTGGATGGGAGGCCAGTGCAGAACAGGGCACACACAGGCACACACAGACACACACTCACACCAAGGTCACCTGTACAGGAGCCTATTGTAACCAGCATGTCCTTAGACAGTGGGGGGAAACCCATGGAAACACAGAGAGAACATAGAAACATTCTTCCCTAAACACAATCTAATACCAGAACTCTCTCACTTCCCCAATCAGATCAGCTTCAAATGGAAACCCAGAAGAGCTGCAGTCAGTGTGTGATCTCCTGTAATAGCCTCAGGAAGAATCAACCTCTCAAAATGCTTTTAATAATGTGATGTCTGTATGTGTCAAATAACCTGTTAATTTTCTGCCTTGGCAACACTCCCTCATCAGTCGTGCCAGTAAAGCGCTTTGACTTTGAGAGAGACGAGAGGCAAGAGGCTTCCTCGTTGAGAGGGGGAGAGAGGTTGGGGGCGCACTACAGAGCACTACGGGGGAGAACGGGAGGACAGAGACTTACAATCTTCTCATCAGCTCAGGCGGGTACTGGTTCCGGGAGTCCCGGGTGTCGCTGGGGTCACGACCTCTCTGCTCCATGAGCAGCCGGTGCTCGATGTAGACGTCCAAGGAGTCCTTGGCCACATGCTGTAGAGAAAGGGGCGGTCAGCTCACTAGGCCACTCAGGCCATCTCCCCCATCCCGCACACACATCTCACTGAGGGCAGACACAGGACCTTACCTCTCTCTCCCGGTACTCGGGCAACAGCTCGTGCACGGCGTCGGCAAACAGGCCGGCGTAGCGGCGCGTGTTCTCGCACACGCTCTCCACCAGCTCGGGGTCCTCCTCCCCGACATCGTCCAGGTCGATCACCAGGGACACCTGCTCCCTGTGAGCCACCGACACCTGGAGAGGGAGGGAGAAAAGGACAGGGGGCACTGAGGCACGCACAGGCAGGACTGCTCCAAACACACGCCACACCACACAGCAAGCACCGAACATGCTTCCAGATCAAGGGGAAGTAACGCACTGCTGCTTCCTCCATTAGAAAAACTGTTCAACTGCAGTTCAATTGTACTCAACAAGTTCTGCAGATCATATGGGCAAAGGGGAGAGGAGAAAAAAACCCCAGTTGGGGAAAGGAAGCCTCTGGGGGGCCCTGGACTGCCTCCTCCCCAACTCCAGGTAAATAAGATGTGGATCTCACGGCTGTCAAATTTAAACACATTTCTGATGACCAAAGCAGAGCACGTAAAGGTCACAGGAGACAACTCCACTCAGGCAACGCTCCAGTGCAAGTAGGGGGAACCCCAACCTAAGCAGATGGGACACAGGGCTGCCAGTGCAGGTAGGGGGAGCCCCAGACTAAGCAGACAGGACACAGTTCACGCGTTCCAACAGCTAATCCTGATTAGCTGTACAGCATGTCGTGGACGGCCACACCCATCCCCACGCCCCGAGCCCTCACCAGCTGAACGCCGTACTTGAAGACCTTCTTCCCAGCGTCATCCTCAGTGTAGAACTCCTGCAGGAACTTCCTGCACTTCTCTGGAGGAAGACAAGACACAACCTTTAAAATGCATTTAAATGCAATCATGACACTTGTCTGGCAGGACTGAAAACAGAAAGCAGCAGGCGTGGCCTCAGGCCTTGCACGACAGCATCACAACTCAAATTCGAAGTTCACAGTACTTTCTGAAAACCCTGTCTCACCAGAGGCAGGACTTCAGGGCTGGAAAACTAACTGTGGGTTAGAGGCAGGGGCAGATCTGAACTCTTGGGGGCAATTTTGGAAGAGTGTTACCCTGTGTCCCAGCCAAAAGGGATTTTCCAGCACTGCTGCAGAGGTTAAAGAAGCAGACAGAGAGAGTGGGGTCAGTGCGAAGGAGAGACACTGAAGCCACACCACACAGCTGGGGCACACGAACATGTTCTGGCATCACTATACACCCGTGCGGCACAGCTCTGAACGCCTCTATTGGATCAACAGGTCCTCCACAGGGACGCAGAGGACCAGGCCTTGTGAACAGGCCCAGCTCCCCCCGCCGCCAGCGGCCTCTCCTCCAGCAGGGCCCCGGACAGCTTTCTAAGCCTTTAATCTTGAAGACCACTAATCTGGTGTCAGGCGACGGGACCAGCCCACAGCAGGCCAGGCTTCTCCACCCCACACTGCAGACACTCGCTGGCTCCACGCACAGGAGCCCCCCAGAACTGTCCGATCGGGCTGGCAGAGCTCACGTGCCATCGCTTTCTGACATTCCAACCCTGCTGGCTCCAGAGAGGGTCCAGCATTCACAGCTCGAGGACGCCCATGCTAACCACATAGGCCTCCCTAAATCATGACACCATGCTGGGCAGTTGGACAGCCTAGACAGGCAAACTCATCACAGCAGTGCTGCCGAAAGCACAGCTCTCAACTCACAAAACACAACCGCTATCGCACACGACACAGAGTAGCGGCGGCGGCGAAACGCATGCTGACAACGCAACATCGGAAAACCGCGCAGAGGAGCCACAGGGTACACGCGTGGAAGCGGCTCGTGCTGGCGCAGTCGGCCTTGAGTGACAGCCAATCCGCGCACCGCTCCAGCTGTAAACAAAACCAAGAGCACGTGACCTCCCCTCCCCCTCCCCCGTGACACTCCACTCTACAGCGCTACCGCTGCTCCCAGCTCCCACTGAACCGAAATCACGGACCTTCAGTTCACAAACTCAAGAGACTGCTCCTCTGCGCGCCCCGGAAAATGATCCCCTACATGCAGTGGAGTCACACATCTTTTTAATATCACAGACCTGGATTTAAGTTTTCTGCGTGGACAAATTACAATGTCCACTAAAATACAACGCGTTCGCGGCACAAGTGTTTCTGAAAATAAGATCTACATAGGCAGGTTTCCATATGAACAAGTCCACAGAAAAGTTACAAGACTGCCTGTTAACTACTCTAGAGTAGTACAAACTTGAACGGCGCCGTGCATTGAGCAGGCAACATAAACACTAGTTTAAACAGTATTTATTCATAATTAAAATGTCAACAACACAGCCCGCCTGTCAAAAAATGTCGAGTCTCAGAGTATCCCCCGGACGAAATAATTCAGCGAAGCCTCGGATACACACCCTCACAATCTTAAAGCTCCACTGCGCGTCTCCAGAAGACCCCCACCATCACTACCAATGGAAATTTACCACGAGAAGCCACCCACGCGCAGCTCTTTCACCCGTTCATTTCACTTTCGGTTTTAAAACAGCCCAACTAGACTCACAAAGACAATCCCGCAACGGCAGCTTTCAACAGAGCTCGCCCGCGGAACAAAAAAAAACACCCACACGCAGGGACAGCAAGGACCTCCCCACCCGTGTCCGCGCTGATCTCTTTGTTGGAGAGGGAGTCAATGTCCACTAGTAAACAGTGCCGCACATGGCGCCCACGAACTTCAATCCACGGCCGTTCTTCCGTCTTTAAAACTGAGCCTGAACTCGGATCGGGGAGGGAAGAGAGCCCACCAACACCGGGACAAACACACACGCGGACCTCAGACATTGCAGCTTCATCAGGAGCGCGGTCGCCGAACTCGCAAACCACCCCACGCCCGCCGCACGGAGCTCGGCTGCCCGGCACCTCCCTCGCCGCGCTTCCTCCGCCCGCCCAGCCGGCCGGCCGGCCGGGGACAAGGGCGGCCCCGTGGCACCGAGCTCTCGCCGCGACTCGGGGCTCCTTCCCGGCGCTGCTCCCCACGCCGCGCCGCCGTCTCCTCACTCCTGCTTTTGTAAACAAAGAAGCACATGGCTGCTCGGCCTCGCCACCCCCTGCGGGGCTTCCGCGATCCCTCCGCGCGTCAAATAGTGCCCGCTCCCCGTTTCATCCAAGAAAACATCACACCAACCACGACCACCACCCCCGCGTCTCAGGCCTCCCTCGCCTCACCCCGACCCTTCGCGCCACGTAATCCGGGAAAGAAAAATCAAGTTCGCAGGAGAATCACACCCTTACGCGCACGCACACTGCACTACAAACCCCTGCTCCACTCCGGGCGGATGTGGCCGCTCTGCGTGCTGAGCCTTTCACGACAGCGAGCGCGTCATCACCCGCCAAGGAGCCCGACGCGTGACGTCAGAGGCGCAGCTGCTCTCGAGCGTCGCGCGCGCGCACGCCAGACTCCTGGAGGTGGGGTCGCGTAGCAGGGGTCGCGCGCGCCTGGCGCGGTTCTCCACCAGGAAACAAAAGCAGCGGCCGAGACGCGACCCCGCCGCTGCAGAGAGGCAGCTGGAGCACGACACACCTGCCCACTCCACCCGTCTCCAGAATCTCTCCGCTTCCTAATCGAAAGTCTCGTTCAGGTTGCGTAAGAAACTCGGTTGTTGAAAGGCGGTCTCCAAGACGATAAAGCACAAATCCAAGAGCTCCAATTAACCCTAACTCTCAATTAAATAACTGAGACCCATAACGAATAGACTCAACAAAAGTTTAATTTGATTTCTTTCTGGTTCATTCCTAAACGTAGTAAGTTTCCTAAATGCAGTAAGGCGCCATCCAGCCATTATCAAAGTTAATGCGGTTAAAATCTCCAGCCTCCGAGAAGGAGCCCAGTGTGGGCCGGGGGTCGGGGAAGGAGCTCAGCTGCAGGTTTGGGGGACCCCAGGACCAGGGAGCCCCCAGAGTACAGTCCAGCACATGCGCTGGTGTTAGACTCAGACATTAGACCTGCCTCCAGCACCAGGAATGCTCGCTCTCAAGGCAGGGACATTACAAAGCTCCGAGCTGAAAACTTGGTCTAATCACCTGAATCAACTGGAAGAGGGGTCACAGAGTACCTGTGCTGGGGTCTCCCAGTCTACCCAGCTGCAGCTGCCAGTGAAGCGGAGAGCCGTAGTGAGGAGGCAGCCTTCAGCCTGGGCAGGGCCTGGAGAAGCCTGCCTCCACCCCGTCACCTGTCCCGAACCCCAGCAAGGCGCAGGGCGGCACCCCCCCCCCCACCCGCAGATGTACCCGTGCAGATGGTTCGGAAGGTCGATTCGCTCGGTCTCTCAGGTCCGTCAGGCAGGCAAGACGAGTCGAGCCAAGCGGCTGGAGACGGGAGAGGGCTCAGTCGCGCAGAGACCGAAAGCAGGAGAGTGGAAACCGGAGCCGAGTGCGACACAATGAAGTGAAGCGAACAAACTCTCTCAACAAGGAAAACACACGGAGCTCTTGTGTTCGCTGTACGCAGGCTTGGGAAAGAATTCTGCCGTTTAGCTTTTACAAAAACTGGATATAGCAATAGGAGGAATGCATAATGATCGTTTGCAAGGTTCAATAATGTACACAGTTTTCAGCTATTCATGCAAATGTATCCTAGAGTAAAGGAAATGATGCAAAGGAACAAGTAATAGGTTTATTCCATGCTGAAAAAAAGAAGAAAGAGAACAGAACGTTTCGGCCGAAACGTTGTTCTCTTTCTTCTTTTTTTCAGCATGGAATAAACCTATTACTTGTTCCATTGCAGCCTACGCATGCTGACGCAGCTACCCACTGAAAGAAAATGATGTCCTGTTTTATGACTTTCAATAATCCCATACAGCTTCAGCCAACAACCTTGACTTGAGGTGTCCTGAATAAGAATTTAAGAATTGTCATGTAACTTATTTTCTTACTTTTCCATAAACAATGTGCACTTTGGTGAGATGTACATATTGTAAAATAATGTCCTTTTTTATTTAATATCTAATCAACTAAGAGAAGAGATCTGAGGTAATTCAGTATAGTTAAATGTTTTTTTAAATATTTTACTCATGTTTTGCTGCTCTGTACCCAGAAAAGGCTACTGTACTTCACTAACGGACTACAACCTCATTAACTGAACTGTCAATATACATGCCCTCTGGGATTTCTTTTATAAAAACAATCTTTCCATCTGGAAGAAGGGAACTCCCAAGATGACCAATTTCACAATCTCCTGTTCCATTTCGCTTCACATATGATGAAATCTAGATTCAGTAATGATTTCTCAGCTTGTGGTGTTCAGTGGTGCCGTCATTGGGTGTAAATATGTGAAAGGGACTGATCTAGTTTGTGAAAATAATGTTAATGCAAATACATTCAGATGAAATACAAGCTACTTTGTAGTTCATCTGGGTTGGGTAAACATGTACTGAGCTCACTGGACCAGAGAGGGTCCGAGACTACGTGTCCTGAGAAAAAAAAGAGAAAGATCTTATCAACAACAGTGATGTGCAAGAATAAGTGTTGTTATTCTACTACAAATAAAAGTAGGTTAAAAATGCATCAAACCTTTTGTGAAATATTTGGATACTTTTTGGGCACATCTGACTTTAAACACATTTACCCTCAGTTTCTCAGAGCATCAATATTTGTTCTTGAGGTACCCCAGTATGCTACCTCTTCTGATTAAAGGGTCCTCCTAAGTCAGTGGTACCTCCTGCAGGCCTAGGGGTCCAGAGCCCTTCGGGTCTGACAGATCTCTTTAGCTGGGAGATGCTCAATGTTACAATCAAATCAAGAATGAGTTCACACCTGTAGCTGAGAGCCGTTCCGAAATGAGTTTGCAGGCCAGGCCCACAGCTGTCCCCCAGTCTCACACCCCACACCCGAAAACAAGAGTCGCAGCTCTCTGCTCTCTATAGCAGAGTAGTCATAGCAGGCTGAGCAGGGCCCTGCATAGTAATGCAACTGAAACAGTTCAGTCGTCCTGCACAGTTCCTTTGGTCTGAGGCAGGAGTCGAGCAGATCAGCAGTTAAATTACTTTTAAACAACAAGCAGGATCCTTGAAACACAGGATGAGGCCTGTGGCCTGGATGTTGCTGGTTTGAACCCGGGACAGAACACTAGCGGAGCCTGACTGGGTTGGCCCATGATCTGACAGGGGGGCGTTTCCAACAGGTCCTCATTCATTACATTGACATCAGTACTATCAGCTCACACACAGCACAGCCTATGATAGGTGACAGGTCAGAGAGTTCCAAAGCCAGCCCCGTCCTTAAATGCTCCCAATCCCGAAATCTAAATTCCTCCAAGCCTGTCCTGGAAAGCCACTCTGCCAGCAAATCGGCATTGGTGCTGCCTCGCTAGCTCAAGGTCCAGGAGCCAGCGCCACTGAACCTTCTCCCTCACTGGGCACTGACGAGCCAGCGATCAGCAGGCCCTGAGCAGCACCCCAAACGCTGTGACCTTTCACATATGAACTCTGCCCTTTGCCTCCCCGCTGCAACTCTGAACACAGGCATGGCCATGCACAAGGGTGACCAGACACCTGCTGCACCCAGACTCTGGGGTTTGCCCCAGCACCAGGTGGAGAAGCTGGTTCCCATTTCTTCACATGGGTGGAATGGCAGTAAAAACAGACATTTTGGCTCATCTGATCCATCATCACCTACTGATTCGGATCAGAAAGCCTCCTGGAACTAGATCTGTGTCTCTGTAGTCTTGCAGCCAGTACTGGAGTCCCCAGCACGAACTGCCTCTGGCATCTCCCCCTGGGATGGTTCAGATGATCTAGTGAAACAGCTCAGATCTCTGTGGGAGCTGGAAGGAAACTGAAGCACCTGGCCAACACTCAAGAACCTAAACAGAACATGCAAAGTCCACACAGACAGGCCCCAACAAACCAGAATCGAACCTGGGACACCGGAGCTGTAATCAGCAAGTTCCTGTGCCACGCCTTCAGCATCTGAAACAGACCGACCAGCTGGGCAAGGAGCTGTGCTGTAGCTATGCTGAAGGCAGGAACTGAAACTTCCTGTTCAAGATGCAAGAGTCTCTGTCTTCCTAGTCTCCGGAATAGGAAGCACAGCTGCCTGGAGCGCACACTGCACAGCCAGCGGCCCATCCTGTACAAAGCCCATCTCTCTGAACGTGCTGTCCCGCCTGGCTTCAGCAGTGCAGGGTACAAGCAGGACGGGACGGGACAGGAAGCCATCACAGGACCTACAGGCGCCCTTTCGAGAACGCTCCGCAAACTGGCGAGAAGGAAACGAAAACGGACACATCGCCCACGACCGGCATCCGTATAACGCGTAGGCCCGGCCGTCGGCACTTCCCGCAACCCAGCGGGCCTGTCCGCTGCGTCCGCCGGGGTTAAAGGTCGCCCCTCCCCCCGCGGCCATGTGCGCCTCGCGCTGAACTCTTTGTCTCCGAGTTCCATCCGGGTCGCAGCCGGGAGCCGCTGCGGAGCCCACGGCCACGACACGGAGTTCGTGCAACAGCTGTTGCTTCACTAACGTCACGTCAAGCACGGCCACCCGAACGCCTCTGGCATTTTCACAGTCCTACAGCTGAACGGGACACAGACACAGCTGCCCAGCCCTGTAGTTTAATGTAAAACACCGAGGCGGACCGGCGCTCTCCACTGCCCAGCGCCTAGGAGATGTGTCGCATCATACACTTCAAATGAGCACCCTGCAGACGAGTTATTTAAGTACCGACAGGCGCTGGGCACGCTGACAGCAGAGCTTATTCTCCATATTTTCAAACCAGCCTGATCCGTGCACGGGTGGACCGGCGCCTTATCGAGTAACGAGCCCATTACACACAAAGGCACAGAAACTCACCCTTCTCCGCCTGGTAGTCCTTAGGAGGCATAGCTGCTGGAACCCGACGCGAAGTCACGGGAACAGGCAAGAAGAAAATGGTTTAATTATACGTTGTGAAAATAGCGTGTCTTTCTCGAAGAGTCCAGCCGCGGGGCCACTCGGTACAGAACGGCTCACGGTCTCCCAAAGCCCTGCGAAAACTGGCGCCAGTCCGGCTCCCCGCTCAGCCAATCATCGCTCGGGAATCGAGTGACGTAGGCAGGGTTCACGAGTGGCGCGAAAGCCTTGGAAGCTAGGTTGGCAGCCAATCAGAGAATCGGGAACCGCCTCTGGCGCGAAAAATGTTAAAAACAAAGCTGGAAGTTGGGGGGAAGATGGGTGTAACAAAGAGAAAAACGGGATAGAAATTATTCTAAGAATGGAATAAATCCTTATAGCGAAAGTATATTTGTAAATTCTATTTTAAGTATTTAGGATATGATACATAGAACGGAACACAAAATGTACAGTTCATATAGATATATTTCTTCCACCCCCGTGCCATTGTACAAATATCCCAATGGACTCGTCCTTCACAGAACAGGCTTTTTGGCGCCAAACCTTTTTCCCCTTATCCTGTAATCAGTGAATTAATGACAACTGCTGTCACAGGTGGACGAGTAGTCTGTGGACTCTCACATTGTAAATAACGCCGCTACGTGTTAATAAAGCACCCGTGTAACTAAAACAAGGCACTAAAAATTATACATTGTTGTTATATAAATGAGCCAGTTGAAAGTTAAGAGTAGTTTATTGCCATATGTACATGTACGTTGGAATTCTTAATCACGCTGATCTCTCGCGATATACACAGACAACACCACACAATGTAGACAACAGGGACAATAAATGTGTTGTGGCACTTTTGTTCTGTGTTAAACTACTCTATCAGTCGGCAGCACAGATCAATGATTTCTAAACTAAATTGAGTCTAACTGTAAAATCACACCCGAAGAAAAACAATCTTCGTGTTTTTGTGCTGTGTAACGCCAAACCGGATAACCCCCCACCACACAGCGCGCCGGATGGGAAGAGGGGAGGACGGTCAGCTGATACCTTCGAGTCCTGCCATTGGCTGAATGTATCCAATCACAGTGACGGCCGGTTAGCGATGGGCCAATGAGAAGCGGTCAGGCGTGTGTCTTACTGTGTTTTGGCAGATCGCCGGTTGTGTTCAGTTTCGGTACCCTGGCAGACTTTAGCTGTCTGCGGCACTGTGGTCACTCGAGAGTCGGCAGTTTGGAGGAGGCCTCCACAACGTGTTAGGTATTACCGTTTGTCAGATCTTAAAATCTGTCCGGATAGATCTATATTTATAGCTTTGTGTTGTTTCAGCGATGTTGATGCCATTATACCGCTATGTTTCATAACTGCAGTGTTAGAAAGCAGCGTGAAAGAAAAAGACAACATATTCAATCATTTGTAAAACCAGACTTGTTACACAGTCCTATAAATGTCTTTAGCGGTTCTAAACGCCTGCTCCGAGGACTCGCGTTGTTCTGTTATTAATTCGACGTGTGCTTGTTACAGCGGTATGATCTCCCAGGTGTTCATCTTGTCTGCCAAGGGGGATCACCTGATTTATAAAGACTGTATCCTTTTTGCGCCCTGGGCCAAACTCACTGTCAGTAACCAGGACCCCGCTCAGGGACCTGTCTGTCTCTCCCTGAATACCTCTCTCTGACCTGTCTGTCTCTCTGGGTTGTCCCTATCTCTCTGACCTGTCTGTCTCTCTGGGTCGTCTCTGTCTCGCCCTGAAGACCTCTTTCTGACCCGTCTGTCTCGCCCTGAAGACCTCTCTGACATGTCTGTCTCTCCCTGAAGACGTCTCTCTGACCTGTCTGTCTCTCTGGGTCGTGTCTGTCTCACCCTGAAGACCTCTCTCTGCACTTTCTTTACTTTGTGTTGTTTTGCTTACATTCCTGTTTGTGTCGGACAATTACTCCGCCCTGTATCTGCTTTGTGGAGCGCTCCTTTCCCCACGAGCTCGCTTGTGGAATACTGGTGTGTTCAGCAGTGTTAACTGGCTCCGTGGTCGCTTCGGTACCGCGGAGCGATGCCAGCCAAACCGCCCGCGACTGGCACTCCTTGACTGATGATGTCAGCAGTTCGCGGGGAGGCGGGGAGTGATGTCGTCGGCGTTTTCTACGAGAAGGTGACGGCGTTGCCTGGAGACCAGCCTCCCGTTGTCATGGTAGCAGTCCTCTGATTCTTATTGCTGTAATTGTCCAAGCGCGGTGCGTTTCTGCAGGTCCTCTCTGCCCACAGGGCCTAGACTGGGTGGTGGTCACGAGTGAGTGAGACTGGTATTAATCTTTCACTCGCCCGTGACCAGGCCCTTGTTCTCACGGCTCCCTTTCCCTCGGCCTCCTCTCCCGAAGTCGTTCCTCCTGTCCGTTTGTGGGCGTGGACCCGTTAGCTCATTGCCTGTGTGAGCTCAGGACATGCGTTCTCTCTCGAGCATGTGGGAGAGGTGATGAGTGTGTCCTGTCACCCGTTATCATCAGCTGAGTTTAGGGCTGGCTCCTGCTGCACACGGGCTGCTTATGCCTACGTTCTGGCAACACGATTGTTGTGGTCCCTTGTGGGTAACTTGTTAAATTTCAGTAATGATCTGCAAGCAGATTCCGGGAGTTTCTTTAATGGAGCACATTGCCTGATTAACTGATGCCTCCCTTCCAAGAGCTCCTGGTTTTTTTGAGGTTGACCTATAACACTGGAGTCCCATGGAAGAGTGATACAGGGTCTGGCTCCACCACTGGGGGGCGCTGTCTGATCTGTGTGAAGAGTGTGGCTCTGGTCCTACCCCCGACTTGACAGCAGCCTCAGGAGGCTCAGCCCCCCCAGCGATGTCACTGCTGACCCTCCTCTGAGCCACAGGGGCCCGGAGCTGTAGACTGCAGTGACTGCTGGTGTGCTTGGGGGTGCAGGACCATCAAGTAGGCGGAGCGGTGCCTGTGGGCGGAGCGGTGGCTCTGTGGCCAAGGATCTGGAAGGTTGCCGGTTCAAATCCCGCGGCCGGCAGAAGAATCCTACTCCGTTGGGCCCCTGGGCAAGGCCCTTAACCCCCACTGCTCCAGGGGCGCCGTACAATGGCAAACCCTGCGCTCTGACCCCAAGCTGCTCTCCCTGTCTGTGTGTCTGTGTCTCCATGGAGAAAAGCTGGGGTATGCGAAAAGACGGATTCCTAATGCAAGAAATTGTATAGTGCTAATAAAAGAAACACTATTATTATTATTATTATTATATAAGAAGAGAGACCCTGCCCCCATGTGCGTCTGTTTCTCTTCTAGAGTCACGAGGGGCTGCACTTCATTCACATCCGACAGGGGGGGCTCTACTTCGTGGCCACAACAACCGCCAACCTGTCGCCCTTCACTGTCATCGAGTTCCTGAACAGGTAATCTGTTCGTGTGTGTGTGTACAGAGACGGAGCAGTGATGGTGTGTG